ATAGATTTTGTGCAGAATTATAAAGAAGTATTTTGCTTTCCACAAGTGTATGTGAAAAGGTGGCTTCTATGGTGGCTTGACTGTCTGGGTAGATGAGGGCAGAGGCAGTGGATGTTGTCCACCTTGGCTTCAGCAAGGTTTTCGACACTGTCTCCCATAACATCCTCCTAGGGAAGCTCAGGAAGTGTGGGCTGGATGAGTGGGCAGTGAGGTGGATTGAGAACTGGCTGAATGGCAGAACTCAGAGGGTTTTCATCAGCGGCGCTGAGTCTAGTTGGAGGCTGGTGACAAGTGGTGTCCCCCAGGGGTCAGTACTGGGCCCAGTCTTGTTTAACTTCTTCATCAACGACCTGGATGAAAAGCCAGAGTGTATGTACTCTCAGCAAGTTTGCTCACGACACAAAACTAGAAGGGTTGGCTAATACACTGGAAGGCTCCGCTGCCATTCAGCGAGACCTGGACAGGCTGGAGAGCTGGGTGGAGCGGAACCCCTGGGGTGCATCAAGAGGAGTGTGGCCAGCAGGCTGAGGGAGGTTCTCCTCCCCCTCTACACTGCCCTAGTGAGGCCCAGTGTGGAGTCCTGCATCCAGTTCTGGGCTCCCCAGCTCAGGACAGATGAGGAGCTACTGCAGAGAGTCCAGGGGAGGGCTACAAAGATGATGAGAGGACTGGAGCATCTGTCCTACGAGGAGAGGCTGAGGGAGCTGGGCTTGTTCAGCCTGAAGAAGAGAAGGCTGCGAGGGGACCTCATAAATGCTTATAAATATCTGAAGGGTGGGTGTCAGGAGGATGGGGCCAAACTGTTTTCAGTGGTTCCCAGCGACAGCACAAGGGGCAGCGGGCACAGACTGAAGCATAGGAAGTTCCACCTGAACATGAGGAAGACTTACTTACTTTGAGCATGGCAGAGCCCTGGAACAGGCTGCTCGGGGGGATGTGGATTCTCCTTCTCTGGAGATACTCAAAACCCACCCGTCTCTCTGGTGCTTGGAAGGGGGATTAGACATAGTTGAAGAGGTGGAAAAGGGAGTATTGGAGATGCAGGTGTACATGCTTGAGTACAATTTTCAGGAATTAAATGTGCTAACTAGCGGAGCCACTGCCCTCAGAAAGTCACGTGTTATAAACAGGAGTTAAATGAACAGGCTTGGGGGTAGGAATGGCTTTAGCTTTCAGCTGTATTTATACAGTTTTGGGAATCAGAAAACAGTTTAAAACTTTGGACTAAGCTGCCCCAGTATCAATATATATCTAGAGAATGAAAATGAATTAAAGGGTGGTGAAGGTCATCAAAGTGATTTGTAGCATTTTATGCATTAGTGTAGTATTTTAACCAGCAGCTAAGATAATGCGTTAATGTAAGGATGATGTGCCACCAAACTGGAGTATGTATAGGCTTTGCTACTGAATTCCATTCAGTGTAATTCAATACATCTTCTTTTAACAACTACAGGTTCTGAAGAGAATTTTGTTTTACACAGCATTGTTCAGAATCCTTTTATAGTTGGAACTCTTACAGCTACTGCAGACAATAAAACTGGCAAGGCCTTGTCTTTGAATGTGTGCTGTTTGTATAACGTCTGTGGCTACTCCTGTCCGTGCTGGAACTCCTGCAACGGCTTTGTTGGCAGCTGCTTTTCCCCCTGGTGGCTTCACTCTGATGATTGTTTATCTAAGAAGTCAGTTTGCAACACCTGTACACTCCTTACTTGTCCCTGCAGCTAGAGTTAAGTGGACTAAAACATGTCCATGCAGCATGGCCTAAAACATGACCACAAATGCTTTCAGACATTTCTTCCAGAATTGTTTGTGCAGAAATACTGTTTGTGTAAAGTACTGAATCAAACTGGCTTCTTTTTCGTTTTGGCATTGCTGTTGCTGTATCTCGTGCAGTTTCAAAGTAGTAGGTCTTCTGTGTTTGTGAGGGCTTTCAGCTTTTGGTAGGAAGATAGCTGGAACAAAAATTATTTAAGGTCTTTCGTATTCACAGTGGCAGCTGAATTAGCAACAGTCTTTCCTGTTCTATGTTTGCTATATTCTTGCTTTAAGAACGGCAAGCTCTTGTTTTTTGAAGTGAAGGTGGTGTTTCCACAAATAGGCATATTTATTTCCCATTGTAGAAAATATTACTTAAAAGTATTTTAGAATGCCAGCCTGGGCATCCCTACTTAGTATTAACTGGAGTGAGTCTGATGTCCGTCTAAACATAACATGGATGATACTGCCTTGTTCTGGTCTGAGGTTTTTGTAACTGTTAAAAGAATCGGTCTTCTGTTTCATACTGGTAGTAGGAATTCAAGTTTCCTACTGCTTTTAGTAACTTGGAATTGCTGAGAATCATCAGACTGTCACCTTTTTCTAATGCTTAGAATCACACTTTTGCAGAGGCATGTGAGATGTCAGATTATCACTTGCTACTTAGTTCTTTTTCCCTGCTTTACTGGGGGTGGTGGTATTTTTTGAGGGCTGATGACAGCCGCCTCCTTGCTGTATGCATGGGTTCACCAGTACAGACAAAGAACTGGAGGGAGGAAGCACTCATTGAGTGTTTCATCCGCACTTCTGTCTGGCCACGTTTGACTGATTCCTTAATAAGAAACATCCATTGACTCTGGTGATGGTCCAGGAAAGGCCTGCAGGAAACGAGGGTTCATGCACAATCTTTCAGCACTGCGAGGATTCTTATGTATGAGATTATGAGGTTTTCATAGCTAGAAGAAGAAGCTGGGAGTGATAAATCTTGCAAGAATGTGCGGAAGATGGTGAATTGATCTTTATTTATTTATTTATTTTAAAACCCCCCCCCCCTTATAATTTGCAGATCTTTTAGGAATAGTTGACAAACTCCACTTTGCCAAGGGAGCCTATAGGGATGTACATATTTAAAACTTCTAAGATAAGCCATCCCCTAGAACAAGGGGACAGTAATGGGTGTTACTGTTGACAGTGGATTGTCTGGTCTGTTCTAAAGACCACTCAGTGATGGAAATTCTGTGATTTAGGAAGTATTACATTCCAGGGCTTCGTTTTCCTTAGTTTAGAAGCCTAACAATTTTTCAGACTAATTGTCCTACCCACCACAAAGAATATTAGAATGTTGTTTTCTAGTTTGTTAGCCCCCTTTGCCTTGGTTAAACAGTCCTGGTCTTGTCTTTGAATGTTTTTGTGTTTTCGAGATCTCGGTGTTTTCCTATGGACGCTCTGCAGTGTTTTCAGATTTTCTTGAGCACATTGCCTGAGATTGCCTGTAGTGCTTCTACTTAGTACTTGATGTTCTCGTTAGTTGGGTGGGAGGACTGTTTCATGTTTTGCAGTCTGTATTCCTGTGCAGGTATCTCAATGCCATGATGGCCTTTTTTCATTATAGGATGATGTGGAGATTAAAGTTCATTTGTGGTTACAGGGTACCTTCATATGTAACTCTTGACAGACATTCTTTTTCTATTTATTAATAAGAAACTACTTCTGAGGAAGGGCTGGATATAATAAATGTAACAGCAATTTATAAGCCTGCCATAAAGTTACAGTTTGTTCTTTTTTTGCAGAATGCTGTAGCACTTAAAACCTTCAGGTATAAAATGCTAATTCTGTGCGTAGTTTCCTTGTATGACACTCATTTGCTCTGCTGATCTGCCTCACCATCCCATGCCCACTTCCCACAGGACTGATGCTTTAGTATCTTATGACTCCTCTTTCCAGTTAAGAAATAAAAGAAACGTTTTTTCTATCTGAATCGGAATGAGAATGAAAACACCTTTTAAATGGCTTGCAAATAATATTGAGCTACTATTTGTGTTTGTAGGTAGAATCATCGAATGCTTTGGGTTGGAAGGGGACCTTCAGAGGTCATCTAGTACAACCCCCCTGCAGTGAGCAGGGACATCTTCAGCTACAGCAGGTTGCTCAGAGCCCCGTCCAACCTGACCTTGAATGTTTCCAGGGATGGGGCCTGCACTACCTCTCTTGGAAACCTGTGCCAGTGTTTCCGCACCCTCATTGTAAAAAAATTACTTGCTTTAGTCTAAATCTACCCTCTCTTAGTTTAAAGCCATTGCTCCTTCTCCTATCACAACAAGCCCTGCTGTATTTTCCCAATGTTTCCAATAGACCCACTTCAGGTACTGAAAGGCTGCTATAAGGTCTCACCACAGCCTTCTCTTCTCCAGACTGAAGAGCGCTCCTCTGGACCCACTCCAACAGCTCCATGTCCTTGCTATGCTGGGGGCTCCAGAGCTGGACGCAGTACCCCAGGTGGGGTCTCACCAGAGCAGAGTAGAGGGGCAGAATCCCCTCCCTCGACCTGCTGGCCACACTTCTCTTGACACAGCCCAGGAGGTGGTTGGCCGCCTGGGCTGGTAGCGCACATTGGTGGCTCATGTCAAGCTTTTCATGAACCAGCAACCCCAAGTCCTTCTTGGCAGCGCTACTCTCAATCATACCATCCCCCAGCCTGTATTGATTCTGGGGGTTGCCCCAACCCAGGTGCTGGACCTTGCACTTGGCCTTGTTGAACATCATGAGGTTCACACGGGCCCGCTTGTCCAGGTCCCCCTGGATGCCATCCCATCCTTCTGGTGCATCAGCTGCACCACTCGGTTTGGTGTCATCTGCAGAGCTGCTGAGGGTGCACTTTATCTCGAGTCACTGGTATCCTCTTGGGCATCGATTTGCTGACCACTACCTTCTGGTTGCGACCTTTCAACGAATTCCTTATCCACTGAACAGTCCACTCATCAAATCCGTATCTCCCCAATTGAGAGAGAAGTATGTTGTGAGGGACTGTGCTGAAGACTTCACAGAAGTCCAGATAGATCCTTGTCCACTGGTCTAATTGCGCCATCATAGAAAGCCACTAGGTTGGCCAGGCAGGACGTGTCCTTGGTGAAACCACGTTGGCTGTCTCGAATCACCTCCCTGTCCTCCGTGTGCCTTAGCCTAGCTTCTAGGAGGATCTGCTCCCTGATGTTCCCAGGCACAGAGGTGAGGCTGACAGGTCGGTAGTTCTCAGGGTCCTCCTTCCTACCCTTTTTAAAAATGGGCACAATGTTTCCCTTCTTCCAGTCACCAGGGACTTTGCCTGACTGGCATGACCTTACAAATACCGCGGAGAATGGCTTGGCAACATCATCAGCCGATTCCCTCAAGACTCTGGGATGCATCTCATCAGGTCCCATAGACTGATGTATGTTCAGGTTCCTCAGGTGGTCATGAACCTGCTCTTCCCTTACAGTGGGAGGGGCTTTGCCCCTCTGGTCCCCATCTTGCACTCTGTTGACTCGGGAGGGGCGAGGAGAGAGGTTGCCAGTGAAGACTGAGGCACAAAATTTGCTGAGTACCTCAGCCTTCGCCTCGACTGTTGATACGAGGTTGCCATTGTTGTTCACTGGGGGAGTACGCTTTCTGTAACTTTCCTTTGCTGGCTGACATACCTGTAGAAGCCTATCCTGTTATTCTTTGCATCCCTTGCCAAATTCAGCTGCAGCCGTGCCTTGGCCCTCCTGACCCCATCCCTACACAGCCAGGCAGCATCCCTATACTCTTCCGAAACTGCCTCTCCCTGCTTCCGCTGTCTGTGCAATTCCCTCTTGCCCTTTAGTTTGACCAGCAGGTCTCAACTCAGCCATGCCAGTCTCTTCCCTTCCTTGCCTGACTTCTTACACATGGGGACTGAGAGCTCCTGTGCTCTGTGGAGTTCTTTAGGTTTGCTATCTCAGAAGCATATTTGAAATTTGGTCTAAGAAGTGAGTGCTTAAAGAGGTTACATTATGTTTTCTGTTATGCTAATGTGACTTATTAATATTGTCAGCTGTTGCGGGATGTAGGTTTTTTGTTATTGTCCTTGACTGATCAAGCCGGGGGCAAGTTCTAGAACTGTGTGTTGCAATGCATGCTAATACTTTTCTGTCTTTTACAAGACAGGTTACTAATAAAATGTTTCTGTCTCTCCAAACTATGATTACTTCTGACAATATTTTTTTCTCTTTCTTTACAGATATTTTCCAATTTATCTCTGAATGAGCGTTGCCTTTCAGCATCATTAGTCTGTAAATATTGGCGTGACCTCTGTTTAGATTTTCAGTTTTGGAAGCAACTGGATCTCAGTAGTCGCCAACAGGTATGCAGGTATCATTGTGGAAAAATTGTGTTTTGATGACTCAGAATTTGTTCTCAGAACTTGTGCTCTTGACCAAAGTTAAGGAAAAGATTCCCATAAAATGGTGATATCTGTGCTTTCAGGGATTTTTCTACTAGATGCTGAAAATGTCTGGACCCTTAGATTAACTCCTTTAAATGTAGCCCCTTTTGACTGAGATCAGTTATTAAACAGTGTGAGGACAAGTGCTGATGGAAATGCATTGTGGCTTACCTGTCTCAGGTCTGTATCAGGTAGTGGTAGTTCCATTCATAAGAACTGTCAGATCTCATGTTAATTGAAAGATGTACGTGAGCTTTTCTGAGGATGCTGTAGTTTGAAGAATGGTCACCTAACTGGTGCTTGCTATGTTTAACAAATTTTCTTTGATTTTTCTTCAACTGATGTAGGTCTTACTGATCAGCAGACAGATTGTGTCTTTTTAGGCCTTTAGCTGGTCCTGGAATTAAATACGTCTGGGATTTGTGGATTTCACGTAGTGAGATCCTTACAGAGCCTCGCCTTAGATTGTTCAGGGTAACTTTCCTCCTTGGAAAACTTTTTTAAGGATGCCTATGTTGTTTGGCCTTCCTCTTTAGGTTTCTTGTTACTTAGTTACTTGCAGAGGTTTATAAAACAATTTCTTGAGAGTTTCATGAAAATACAGGGTGCAGGGGAACAACCATTGGAGGGTCCCATTTGAAGAAGTAGCAACATGTCTATATTGGACAGAAAGAATGTACATGGAATATTATTTTCAGATCACCAATTCATAAGACAGCATGCAAGTTCTCTTCCTTTAACATATTTCTGAACCATAGTGGAAAAGTAATATAGCAGATTGTCTCATTTTTCTCAAGTGACTCCAAAGCACACTCAGACCAGAGGTCCATCTTTTTGCTACTGTGGGTACTATGTGTCAAATCAGTCTTTCTTCACTGTCTTAAGGTGTAGCCTTACTTCTACTACAAAGGTTTTAATGGTTTTTGACTCTTAGATATGTTAGGATCTCACTAAAGTTTGAGTTGTGGCACTGCCCTAAAACCTATCTTGCCAATTTTTTATTAAATTCTTAAACCAATATTAAGCACAAATATTATCCTTCTCTTTGTGTGGGGAGGGTTTGGTGGTTTTGGGTTTTTTGTTATTGTTGATTTTTTTTTTGGGGGGGTGGTGTTGGTTGACTGTTTAGGCGTTGTTTGTGGGTTTTTGTGGTAGTTTGAGTTTGGTTTTTTTTCAGTTTGTCATGTTTTCTAGCTAACAGCTGGCTGATGAAATAGCAAGGAAAAAAGATTAGACTTGGTACTAATGGAAAACAGATTGAAGGCAGCAAAGGAAGTGTTTGTTTCTCAACTGTGTAAGAGAAAAGCAAAAGGGTTTCATGATGCTTTTTTGCCCTCTCCAGGCTTAAAGCTAAATCTCTTCTATGCTAAGTGGTTGATAAGTATTCTTGAAAGGTTTTTTTTAGAAAGACTTTGCTCATATGTCACCTCAGGTTTTTTGAAGCTAAACTTTAAAGAGAGGGACTTGTGTGCATTGCATCTTACCTGCTTTGGTTTTGTTTGTTTTGTTTTAACTTATAAGCTTGAGCATGAAGAATATCTTGTGTTTCTTACCTGCTTTGTAGGACTGGCTTCTTAAAATTATTGGCATGCTAGCTACCTACAATGTGTACAGGTACGAAGTGGATAGAATCTTTTTTTCTTCAAAGGAGCTCTGAGAAATTGTGTCTGATTTAATGGTCTTTCATGGACTAACACTTAAAATATGCACGTATTCTGTTTTAAAGCTGACCGAATAACAGGAGGAAACTATATGGGTTTTAATTCGCTTTTTTCCTGTCATGGTCTTCTTTCCTGCTCATCCGGTTCATTCTCTGCTACCTTAGGTGACTGTTTTCCATTGTTAAGAAGCCCGTTGTCACCTGCATCAGTGTAGTATTTGTCTGCTGGCATCTGGTTTTGGATAATTACCAAAGCCTAAGTAAAAACCTGTTGCATTTCAGAGACATATAAACCCTTTAATTCTCTGTAAATGCTACCTTAGGTATGTAAGTACAGGGCTGCTGTAGGAGAGCAGGCAAATCTTTTTTGTATAGAATCATTAAGGTTGGAAAAGACCTCTAAGATCATCAAGTCCAATCGTCAAACCAACACCACCATGCCTACTAAGCTGTATCCCGAAGTGCCACATCTACGCATTTTTTTTAACATCTCCAGGGATGATGGCTCCACCACTTCCCTGGGCAGCCTGTTCCAGTGCCTGAGCACTCTTTTTTCTAATATCCAGTCTAAATCTCCACTCATGCAACTTGAGGCTATTTCATTTTCTTCTAAAGAAAAATGTCTTCCCATCCCTGGAAACATTCAAGGTCAGGTTGGATGGGGCTCTGAGCAACCTCATCTAGTAGTAGATGTCCCTGCTAACTGCACGGGGGTTGGGACTAGGTGACCTTTAAAGCTCCCTTCCAACTCAAACTATTCTGTGGTTCTAAAGGATGGAGAATTCTTTGTGTAAAATATTAAAACGACCATTAACTGTTACTCTCTTAAAGATAACTGTAAAACTGATTATACCAGTGTTCCCTTAGCTTGGAAAACAAATCTTTTCATTCTGCCAATAACTTACGGAAATGCATCTTACAAATAGTAGTGTTTGTGCTAATGAAATTAAAGATGTTTATGAAAAAAAAAATTAAATGTGAATATCTGGACTTTCTTTGCAGGTCACTGACGAACTGTTGGAAAAGATAGCATCAAGAAGCCAGAATATTACTGAAATCAATATTTCTGATTGTCGCAATGTATCTGATACAGGAGTACGCATATTAGCAATTAAATGTCCTGGACTCTTAAAGTATACTGCCTACAGGTGTAAACAGCTTTCTGACACCTCTATTATTGCAGTTGCCTCTCAGTGTCCTCTTCTTCAGAAAGTGCATGTAGGCAATCAAGACAGACTCACTGATGAAGGCCTAAAGCAGGTAACCATCTATTCCACAAATTTATTTTGTAAATTTAGTATCTTTGAACTTCCCTTGAAGTGGAGAAAAGGACATGGAAGAAGGTATCGTCTTCTAGGATTGAAGTGAAATCATATGACCTCTTCTACTTTAAAAATTTGTTTATGGATATACTTTTCTGGGTGCAGTAAATAATGTTCTCTAAAGACTGCACGTACGTTTGTTTGGGTTTTTTTCTTGATATATCCAGGGATTAAATGATCCCTTTTGTAACGAAATCTCCAGTTTGACATCCTGTACTTCATCTCTGGCTGACTGAGTTTTCCTGACCTTAGCTGCTATTTGGAACCAATGTTTAAGTAACTCTTTTTTTGCATCAGGAAAGCAGAGGGTAACTGAGATATCTATTTGTTAGGCATGAAGGAAGGTTTCATCAACTGTTTCTCTTGGGGTAAGGGAGCATTTAGGGTAAGCTGTGAAGTAGTTTTGTTAAATATGCTGCCAGTGGTCTAGCATACAGGCATTGTGAGCTACTTTTATATATGTCCAATAAATAAATTCTTACGTACTGCTCTTAGCTCCATTTTACTGACTGTAGTTAGCAACTTCATTTTCTCATGTATGCAATTATGATTTTTCTTGTTTGTGTATAGTACTTACAAAACCTGTAAAGAAAGATAATTTTTAAGGGGGGGCAGAGAAGCAGAAAGAAATCTGAACTCTTCAGTCAAATCTTGTTGGTCTTTTTCCTTTATTCTTAAATACTTGCTTTGATCTCATTGATTGCAGCTGGGTTCAAAATGCAGAGAATTGAAAGACATTCATTTTGGGCAATGTTACAAGATCTCAGATGAAGGAATGATCATTATAGCTAAAGGCTGTCTGAAGTTGCAAAGAATATACATGCAAGAAAACAAATTAGTAAGTACAAGTCATGATTTTTTTTTTAAACAGTGTTTTAATTGTCAAAGCTTTCTCTTGCTTTTTATCTGTTTAAAACTTTCTTCTGAATAGCTGCTTTTTGGCAGTGAATTTCTTAAAAATGTTCTCTAGCTGCGAAACTTTAGATTCTACAGAGATAGCTCCAAAGATGACTCAAAGTACAAGTTAAGCTAATGCTATTCCACATACAAACTTTTGGTTTCGACATGACAGTCCAGGAGTAATTGTTTGGGAGACGCCTGATTTGTGTAGAAAAGTGCTTGGTCCACATAGAATGTTTCTTTTGTTTATACTGGTACACTTTTCTACAGTAAAAATAGCAAACTTACCTAAACTAAAAGTTTTTTGGAAATTGGGTTCTTGGTTACAAATAATACACTCTGATAATCTTTTCTTGAAATACATCACTTTCTCATCAGGATGCAGTAGAGCAGTGTGGCTGTGCTAGTAAAAGTAAGTTGTTGATGAGTAATAAAACTATCCTGTGTCTTAATTATAAGCAGTTTCTGAAATGATGGTTTCTAATGTTGGAAGCCAGTATCTACTCAGTGGTACAGCAGAGCACTGCACTGGCTTTAATTTTTTTTTTTTTTTTATTTCTTGCAAGTAAGTAGAAAAATTTGCTTGCAGTTAAATTCTTAACTGTCAGCTAATGTCAGGGTTATAACCTTTAGTTTGAAAACTGCTGAACTGGAACAAATAAATTGTGTTTGTAAGAAAATAGCATACCTTGTACTCAGTCCTTTGTTATTTGGCTTCAAATAGACAGACAGATCCTAATGCCTAAGATGGTTCATATGAGAATGGTTTCCATTTAAAAAAAGCCATTTATTGTTTTTTATCAGAACTGTAGGAAGTTGAGAAACAAGAAATAATGGCTAAAACCAAGATCTCAAAACACTTAGAATGCAGAAAAAAGGATGTGTTCCCTCCTCCCGCATCAAAACAAAATATTGAGTACTGTCCAAATTAGTCCTTGTAATATTTATGTTAATATATGAAAATATTTTAATTAAAAACAAAAAAAAAAAGAAATGAAAGTTCCAAGAAGCCTGGAAGGGAAAGCATAAAATAGCAAAAATTAACTGAAGAAAGATAGGGAAATTTAAAGGTATTATTTATCTTTGAATGAAAGAGGAAAAACTTGTGCATATTAAAGATTTGCGTAATTGTATGTGAAAGATTACTTATTTGTACATAAAGATTATTGTATGTATAAATACCTACGTAAGTGCATGATCATTGAAAAATACGTGGATATGGTATTAATTTGACCTTTCTTATAGAGACGTCTTACCCTTCTCGCTGTTGAAGTTTCTGTTCTCTTCATAGTCTCAAATGTAACCTAAGAAGTTGACATTACAATTGTTAGCACTTAAAAGTTCTGTGGTTTTATTATCTGAAATGTCATGTAAGTTCTCATCTGAAATGGGACATAGGAAGTATCTTCTTAGTTTTAAGACAATCAGGAAAGATGTTCTTCACTTGCACTTTATTTGGTTGTCTTCATGGCTGGAAATGTAACATTAATTTTTTGTTGGAAATAAGATAAAAATACTTGCAAATGAATAGAAAACTTATTTTGTCACTTCTGAATGAATAGGAACCTTAATTCTGTTGTCACTTCTGAAAATTTGTCAAGTGACTTATCAAAACTAACCCTTTGCACAATTTCTCATGAATGTAGCTTCTTTAATGTCTGATTTTATTTGAAGCTGCTGCCCAGTCTGAGTTTTTGAGGAAAAAATAAACTTGGAGCAAACTTGGTTTGCTTAGTAAAGTCTAAATTCAGGTTCTTAAATCTTGGTCTAGAAATGTAAATATTAAATAAGTTATAAAGCTGTTATGAACTCCGGGGTGTTGAATATTTAGAATAAAATAACACTTGAATGATCCCGCTAGATGACAAAGCTACAGAAACTGATGTGCTTTCCCCTTGCAAGAGACTTTCAAATCTTGCTGGAAGTGTAATTTTCTGTGACGAACCAAGACAGATTGTAAGGAGTTCTCATGCAGTTGTAAAATCAAAATTTTTACCTTCCAAAATAAAAGAAACAGAGAAATTGTTTAATGCCACAGAGTTAGCTTAAAAGGCAGTAACAGTTGGTGGCAAATGATAATCCGCTGGTTGATTTGTCAAATTCTGTGGGTTACCTGTATTTTTAAGACTGCTTTCTAAAGTAAAACCACTGTTAATATTTGCTGTGGCACATCTTCTTACTTTTTTGGTGAAGATGATGGTTTGCAGAAATCTGTGTCTGTGTGTGTGTTTTGGTTTGGCCTGGACAAATGCCAGCTGCCCACCAAAACCGCTCTATCACTCCCTGCCCCCCCCA